GGGGGGTCAATCGTCGCCAACAGAGCCTAATCAGGGGGTATCGGGTAAATTTTACCATACTAGCCCTGGTTGTTCAAAGGATGGAGAAATTTAACCACTGGATGAGCTTATCCGGTGTATAAGATGGTTATCCAGTGGATAATTATCCAACGAATAACAAGTTATCCATCCTTTCAACAAACGGGGCCTGGTCCCAAATGTCGCCTATGCGGGAAACCAGTAATCCCTTGACTGTCATTTTGTATCTTTTTGCCTTCGCAGATTAGCGATAACACTGGTTACAAAGGGCATATTCTGTGCGTGGAGGCGTTCGATCGAACCATGGAAAATAAAGAGGTTTATCCAAACCCAGGGAAAGACATAAGAATCCTCGATGCCGGAGCGGGTACGGGAGGAATTGGTGAGATGCTGAAAGCTCGAGGTTATACCAATGTTGACGCATTGGACATCTCGCAAGAAATGCTGAATATTGCGGCAGCCAGGAACATTTACAAGAAACTCATCTGTGCTCCTCTGAAGGACACGCACATGGAAGCGATTGAAACCGCTGAATATGATATTGTGCTGTGTGCAGGCACCATCGTATATGGGCAAGTGAAACCTGGGGCAATCGAACAGTGTGCAAGATTTGTAAAACCTGGTATGATAGCATTTAGAAAAAAAGGTTTTTAAGTTTAATTTAATCCATATTGATTGAATATGCTATGACGAGGATAACGACCACAGCTTTACGTATTGAAGTTTGTAAACTCTCACGAGACACCCTTAGCGCACTTGACAGAAGCCTTTTACCCCCAAGACTCTGTCGGTATACCGTCGGGATATCCTCGGGAAACCCTCAAAACACTTTCGGGTCATCCCTGAGACCAACACAGGTGTCCCCATTTTTCCCGTTATTAAAGGTAATTTACACATAACCTTATGATAATTTTCAGTTCGGGGATTTTTGTTTGTGTTGTTGAATGGCTACGGCAACTGTTATATGGTGAACAGACAACAAGTAAAATAATTTTTAAGTAAAAAAAAAAATATCGTTAGCGCACCGCACGGAACTCTGGGAGTGAGGCGTACTCCCAGAGTTATGCGGGGCGCGCGAACATCAACTTTTATTTGGCTGATTTTTTTTTCGACTTGCACAACGGACTTCGAAAAGAAGGGACTGCTCGTAGCCTACACAGCGAAGCAAAGGTTTTGCAAATACAACATGTATTGCGTTGCTTGTCTTTTGTTTCTTAACTTAATGAAATCAGTAAAGTACGAGTACTTTCGAATCATGAGGCGAATAAATTCCCCCAGGGGACAAGGGAAGGGTACTAACTAAACTGCGCTCTTTTTTTTGCACTTTCAGGAGGTCTGTTTATTTTCTCTATTCGCGTGGATTCCTTCGATCCAGTGGGTTTGGGTTTCAGTGAAAAATGCCAAGAGCTGGAGAAAAATGGCAAATGGAGTCTGGTGTTAAAAGAGAAACGCGAGTTGCATGCTACGCCCAACGAGGAGCGACTTCGATACTGCTACCTCATCACTTACAAGATACTTAAATGAGAAGCAAAAATTATCTGTAGAGAAGGAACTAACACCACATATCAATTAGATTAATATTCTAGGTTATTGCAGGACATCCAGACTACTACTGGCCTCCTGACTTAAGTCCTTTTGTGATTTGTGTCCTATTTTCGACCTCTTGATCAGAAACTAAAAGGTATTAAAAAGAGGTACTAAATGTTTTTGTATTCTGTTGCGATGTGAGGCGAACGCTATCTCCACCACGCAATCCCCGCTTACCCAGTTTTTGTTGTCATGACCATAGAGAATATTTTTAGAGTAGTATGGATACTAATCTTGGTGCAACAACTCATACGTCACGAGATTGTTAGCGTGCTAGCCTGCGAGATTCGGACCGGAAAGCGAACGTGTGCAAGATGTCTGGTAAAAGAATCGTGGTAAACCCCTCGCAGACCTCCACTAGGCTCGCCGGCCCTACTTGCGTGGACTTCACGAGAACCGAGCGCGTTATTAGTGCAGCAATGCCAGAGGGAGCCCTTAAACAGGCCCTGACCCTGACCCTGACCCTTACCCAAATAATTAGTCGGTTGACCGACTGTAGGTTTACCCTCGGGTCTCCACAAAGCTCAGTCACGTGCAATGGGGAATACCGCAGACACGTAATAGAGGCGCAACTTTCTTTCCACCATGTCGAACATGGCGGATTTGTCGAATATCTTAGCGAATGGTGTCATCTTTTCTACGCTCAAGCATACAGACTCACACGCCGTTCGCGGTAGACCCGCTCTAAAAGATGGGTTGTGTAATGAGCGTACATTTCGAAACGGGTCGTTCCGCGAACTCAAAATAGCAAAAGAGTCAAATGATTTAGCGAAGGTCTCACTAGAATCAAACCAGAAATCAAATGAGTTATCAGTGAACAGAAAATGTGGACAGAGTGACTGAAGAACATTTGCTTATAAAGACAAGGTGCCTCGTTATCAAACCCTAGGAAACGACGACAAAGATGCCATGTTGGACTTTCGTCAGAGTGAGGATAAACGTAATTTTTATATTTATGTGACCTCTATCGTGATTATTAAGCTTACATTCGTTATGTTTTT